ACCTGAATAAGGTGAGGGAGCTAATCATGTAAACGTCTGGGGGAAGAGTGTTCTATGCAGAGGGAGCAGTAAATACAAAGACACTGAGGTGGGATTGTGTTTGCAGTGTTCAAGGAGTAGCCAGGAGGCCAGAGTGGTATGAGAGAAGTGGATGAGGGGAAATCACTTAGCATCTCACAGTCTGGGGTAGAGATTTGACTTTATTCTGAGCGAGATGGGAAGCCATTTACAGCTCTCTATTCTCTGTGTGGAGAACAGACTAAGGGCACAGGAAGGCAGAAGCAGGGAGACCAGTTAGGATGCTTCCACTGCAGGCCAGTCAGGAGCTGATGGAAAACAGCAACGCTGGGAGAGCAGTGGAAGTGGTTGGAGACAAGACCTATTGCAATATTTGGGCTGACAAGATTTGCTGAAGGATTGGACATGAGGGAGAGTCTAGCATGGCATCAAGACTTTTGGTCCGAGCGACTAGAAGGATGAATTTGCTATTTACTGAGACAGGGAATGCTGAGGGAAGAGCAGGTTGGAGGTGAAGAGTTGGGTTGTGGACGTGTGTGGTATGAGATACCCATTCAGTCTTAATGACCATATATCACCTTCCACTATCCTCGCCATCTCCCATGTTCTCCCCGCCCATCCCCAACCCCCTTCATTCACCCCTGATCATCCCTGCCCGCTGTGAGTGTTCACAGTTCCTCCCTTGCCCCCCACCCCCACCAGGCTATCTACAAGATGGTGGGCACTGTGATCATGATGCGCATGAACCAGGATGGGCTCACGCCCCAGCAGCGTGTGGACAAGATCTTCAAGAAGATGGACCAGGATAAGGATGACCAAATTACGCTGGAGGAGTTCAAGGAGGCGGCCAAGAGTGACCCATCCATTGTGCTGCTACTGCAGTGTGACATGCAGAAGTAGAGGCTGGTGAGGGGCAGGGCCCCTGGCCAGGAGGGGCGTGGCCACCTCCCAACCTGATGACCTCTCAGGGGGAGGGGTACTCTAGCCTCACTTTCTGGCCCACCCACCCCTCTGCCCAAGCCCTTGCTCCCCTCAGTCGAGATCCTTGAGGGACCACCTCACCCTGGAAAAGAGACAGATCCTCAGGTATTCTGTGGTCTAGCCCCACCCCCAGTCTTGGCCCAGAACCAACATCCACTGGGCATAGAGGGTTGGCTTTTGCCCAAAGAGGCAGGATTGAGGAAGGGGGGCTGCGGGTCTGCTTTGAAATTCTGTTCTTCCTGGGATTACACTTTACAGGATGTGGTCTCACAGATCCCAGTTAAAGGGCCAAAGTGGGTCTGTCCTTTGCTGAGGACCTAAATTCCTTAAAGGTGGTCTCTGCCCTGCCCCCTCGACTCTACCTGGCCCCTCCGGCCCCAGCCTGTGGAGCGTTCATTCAGTCCTTTCTTCACCTAACGTTTGTTGAGCACCTGTTCAATGCCAGGCACCTCTGGGTGCTAAGGTCATGGTAGTTTACAAGACACATTCTGTGCCCTCTGGAAGCTCATATGGGAAGTGAGGCAAACTTCCAGTGGTCAGAGTCTCAGATGGGAACGTGGCACACAACTGAGCAGAGGGTGTGCTAAGGCCGGTTAGTTTGAAAGGAACCATTAAATCTTTCAGTTCACCTCCACCCAGAGCTGCAGAGGGATTAAATGAAAAGTATTTGGAAGTCTAGGAACCATTGTGAGTGGAAGGTTTAAGAAACACTGATATTTATGTAATACTTATTTTTTTAATACCCTTTAAAAGAGCTAAAGTCATTTTATTAGTTTAGGATATTAAGACATACTTTATATTACTTGGTTTCTTGTAAAATGATTAAATGAATATAGAAAATGCTAATTTTGTGGGTGGGGGGAGGGAGAGCTGAGAAAAAAAGAGGGAAAATACCAGCAAACTTACCAAATAACACTTTTTCTTGTCAGACTAAGTCCTGAGGTGTCACCATCAGCAGCTTCTGCTGCTTCCTTTTTAATGACTTTTTCAATTCAGTGAGCAGCTCTCTTATCATGCCCTAGCTCTGGTTGGATGCTGACTTTGGAAACAGAAAAAGACAAGGTTTGATAAGAGTGAGACAAGTGTATCTTCCACATCTTGGTAGTTCCTTTCTGGATTTGGTATTGTTTCAAGGATGGGCTTGTTCTTTCTGCTACAGAAACAGAAGGAGCTAGAAGAAGAGGACCACCCAGCCACTGTTTAGGTTGCCCGACTGCATTTATGGACCAAATGCCTAAAAATGTGCTGGGGACATGCTCCATTTGAAAGGCTCTTTCTAACCCCAACTCCTCAGTCTGCCAGGTAAATTCATCATCTTCCAGGTGTACTGGCTTTGCTTTCTGCTTTCTGCTTTTGGGTCAATGAGCTATACAGCTGCATGCTTTGACTGCCAGACAGTCTTGCTTCTTCAAGGCTTTCACTTTATTTTCACCTATACTTGTGATCAGAAATTAGCTTTGATGTGCAGTGACAGATTTCCTCTTGAGCTGCTGGTGAAAACAGTCTAGTACACAGGTGCTGTCAGCCCAGGGTAGGAACAGGGAATGATTGCTGAGTCAGCGGTGGGAGATTGTATCTCTGGGAAAGAGGAAAGGCATGCCCCTTCTGAGTGCTCACCTGTCTTCCCTCTCTGCAGGTGGAAACTCTTGGGGATGCTGACCTTTGGCCCCGAACTCTATTGGACCTTCCTTCTTGCTGCCCTTGGAGGTAGCAAGGCCACTTAGTTGCCACTCTCTTTTTGTCTTCTGCCTATGACTAGCCACGTGGTGAGGCTGGGAATTCACATCCTCAGGCAGTAACCAGCAGGTTTTTATCCAGTAATGCCTCAAGGAATGTTCCATTACTCTGAGGCACTGGTCATTAGGTGTATCTTGTGCTACTAGTCAGCACCACAGATACATTGATATCAGTCTGGCTCCGTGAGACTTCCAGTAGAGGCTTTTTACAAAGTGGGGTTCCCATCCCCCAAACGTTGAATCTAACCTAACTCACAATCACACAGAACTTCATGGCTTTCAAAGGCTTGACATCTACTCCATCTCATTCTATCCTCCAGCCTGGGGAAATAGAGATTTTTCATTCCCTTTCTCCAGTCTTGGGAAGTGAGGCACAGAAAGGGGGGATTCCCTTGTGCAAGGGCACGTGGTCAGGGGGTGAAACAGGCCAAGACTCGAACCCAAGGCTCTAAGAGGGTTTCTTCCTTCAGTTTCTTCCTCCTTGTCTCTCTGACTGAGTCATACAAAGTTGACTGTGGGGTAAGCTAAGTTAGTTTTGGTCTTTGACAAGCTTCCTGCTGAGAAGTTTCTGAGGTGGTGGTCTTCCAAAAAAGAAATAGGAGCTTGTTTGAACTTCCAACATTTTCAAGCATCTTGTTGTCTGCTTGTGGGCAGCTCTGCTAACAGGTCAGTGTCGTCCTGGGAAGCCTCTGACCCAGCACCCCGGAAGCATCTTGCACTATCTTTACCACCATATTCCTCCCTAAGAGAACTGTTTTTGTTTTTCTCCAGCTGGTGGGAAAGTCCTACCCGTGAGAGCATGTTTGATCATTCCAAGCTTTTGGACATATCCCATGGGCGATATTTGCCAGTTAGGCCAAAGATTCTCAGACAGCCCAGTGGTGTGAACACATAAAGCCAGGCTGGGAACTGAGACCACCATCTTGTTGATGGGAAGAGCCACAGGCAGCCCAGGCCTTGCTCCCACATGCTCCTGGATGTTCCAGGGACTGTGTGCTCAGGGGCTTCTGTGGTAGAGTATTGGCTCTGCCTTGAGAAGAGAGGCAGGCCTCCGATATCCTATGCCAGCTATGAGGGACTTGCCATAGAGCACAAGGTAAGGAGACATTGAAGTATGACTCGCAGAAACACAAAAATATACAGACAGTGACAACAGTGATGTATTCAAACTCTCCTTTTAAAGTTTTGTATCTTCTTGCAGCAAGTCTGAATTGAAAGGTTCCAGAATCTACCTCCTAACTGCATTCTGTCCTCCTTCATCCTTTTGGGCTAACTGATGAGCCCCTTATTTCTTATCTTTAAAAATCATCAACAAGGTCTACTTCAGATGGCTGCTCCAGTCCTTTGAACTATAGTCAGGGATATAAAACTTACCTTTAAATCAAAAGTTAAGAAAAAGGAAGCCCATAAGCAAAGGCACTGAATCATTTACTGACTGTTTCTAGAGGTGGAAGTTCATCCTGCTGCAGAGAGAGAGAGAAGGAGGCAAGGGAAGAGAAAGGAAAGAGAGAATGAGAGAACAAGCTGGGGTTTCCACACAGGGTAGTAAGCTGACACTGTAAATATTTTTACACAAAAATTTACTAAAGCAACAAATTTTCCTGAAGATCCACCCTGGGTGAGGTTTTGTTCTGACTTCAGAGATCACTGTGGAAGAAAGAATACATTTCTTACATATTTTATCATTTTTGAAAAAAAAAAAACCCTTCAAATCCTACAATTTCAAAGTCTCAGAAAAATATGGAATTTTCTTTCTGAAATTTTCAAGGTTTTCTTTTACCTTTGCCAGAAGGTGGGGCAGGACTGGGCCTCCCGGGGTGTTTGGCCCTTCCTGCTTTGTGGAGGCAGTGGGGGTGTGGAGGCCTGGGGGAAATGGGGAGTGGCAGAGGGAGACATCCCAACTCATTCTCTTGTGCGGCCCCCTATCCCCACCCCATGTGCTGCTCCCGGCTGTGGCCGCAGTGACTGTCCTCACTGTTCAACCCTGTGCTGTATAGTGTGTTTTTCACTGACCGTGAATAAAGGTGTGACCTTTATTGAGGGCTCTTGCTCTTCCCTAAGCTGAGGTAGGGCTGGGGTACGGGACAGGGAGAGAAGAGGCCTGGGGGGAGCTCAACGGGGGGGTACCTCAGTAACCTCCTTGGGGCTGAGGGCCTTGTTCTAGCAAGGACTCTGGTTATGTGGAACAGAGACCCACTCAAGCTAGTTCAAAGAAAGGGGTGAGCAGATTACAAGGGACCCTGAAGAGGGAAAATCAAGAATGGCTGGGCCTCAAAAGGACTGGAACTGGCAACAGGGCCTCTCCATTCTCCTCTCAGGGTCTCTCCTCCCCTTGGCAATATTTGCATCTGTGTTCTTTTCCTCGGTTTCTCTTCAGACTTACTTGGTTTCCCTGGAAAAGTGGCTGCATCTCCAACTCTGTATCAGGACTTCCCGGCAGCTGACAACTCCCCTCTGCGTCAGTTAGTTCCAGTTCTCAAGCAAAAGAATCTGATTGGTTGAGCTTGGCTTATGGTGGGAGCCCTTGGTCCATTCATCAATGGCCAGACCAGGTGCTGATGCGTGGGCCTGTGGGCAGAGCAGTTTCCCCAGAAGGGAGCTAATGGCAGGTTAACATTGGACTTAGTTTCTCCCTCTGTCCAGTAGAAGGCGTCATAGAGCCCAAACGAGTGGATAGTGGGGAGTGGAGAGAAAGGCCAAGAGTCAGGATTACAATTAGGCCATATGGTGCCCTTTGTGCAAATTAGGAAAAGACACCCCTTCTGGGTGTAAACAGCCTCCTAAGTACGCAGCTGGGCCAGTGGATGGCACCTTTGGCCTCATGAGAAAAGTATACCCCTTCTTCTGAATAAACACAGCCTTGTCATGCCATGGTGCACAGCTTGGCAAATGGAGCAGATCTTGGATTTCAGTCCCACCTGCCCTGCTGGTCAAGGGTGTTGTGTAGTGCGTAACCTCTTCCGCCATCCACGAGGAGACCAGCCCAGGCCCTGAGACCTCCTGGAATGGAGTTAGTGTTGATGTGTTATTCTTAGAATACCAACTCCCCCCCCCCCCCCCCCCGGCAATGGCCAGAGAGGCACTGTTTGTTGCAGGGAGTTGGGGGCAGTGGCAGCTGGAGGTGACTGCTTCCTCCTGAAACACTCAATTGCATTAACAAGAATTTTCCCAAGGACGCTTGGAGGGGGCCAGCTTCCTTGGCAGGAAGCAATTAGGACAGAGGAAGGAGGCTGACCTGGCCTCAGGGCAGCTATAAACCTCAGGAGGTGACTCAGGAGCCTGAGAACTTGGGGCTGCTGTTCCCAGCTGAAGCCTTACTGGGGGTGGCGGGGGAGAGTCTTGTTCCCTGCTTACTTAGGGTGCACAGGTCCAGGTCCTGGGTTACCATCTCCTGAAAGCTACCCTCCTGGTCTTCATCACCTCTAACCCAGGTTGGTCTGCCTCCTGCTTTCAGGCTTGCCCTCTGTGCCATCCAGCGGTCCCCAAGGAACCAGAGTGATCTTCCTAAAGTGCAAGTCTGACCGTTTCAACTCTCCGAAATCTCCCCTCCTCCTTCAGTGTGATAAGCTCCTTAAGAGTCCCTCAAGGCCCTGCAGGATCTGCCTGCCATGTGCTGACCTCCAAAGCCTATTCCTTCCTCACCTCCCCGTCCTTCACCCTGCATTTGAGCCACCCCGTATTGCCCTCCATTTCCCTAAGGCATCTCTCATGCTTCTGTGCTGGTACACAAGCCATCACCTCTCCATGGGTCACCCATTCTGTCTCAATGATGTCCTTCTGTGCGAAACCCTCCCAAGCCTCAAACAATTGACCCCTCATGTGGACACAGTCCATCATAGCTACCAAACAGCTTCCCATGTGATTCCCTGTCAGCTGAGCCAAGCACACTTTTAAGTCTCCAGTTTAAAAAAAAAAAAAAAAAGACAAGGAAATGAAGCCTCGGGGAATGGCAAGACTGCAACTTGAACTCGGGTCTTCTAACATCAAGGCTACTGCTTATTGTGCTTTCTTTGGTGGGGGAGGGAGGCAGGAGAAAGGTGAAGGGAGTATTCATGGAGTAGGTAGTTTCTGCCCCAGGTCTTGCTAAAGACCAGCCAACAGGACCAGGCATCCTGGGGCAGGGCTGCCCAGACGAGCAGTTTCAGGTGCCGTGATCCTGGAGTCATGTACAGAGGGGTGTGTTCCCAACTTATCCACCTGTAGAAGAGCTGAACCCTGAGGGGAAGCACTGGCCCAAGTTCAGCAATGCAGAGAGCCAGGGAATCCCTGCACCAAGCCAGTGGTCAGGGGGTGGTGGAGAAGACAGAGGCAATGGCCAGAAAACTAAGAGGGCGGAAAGAACAGTCTAGGATGGAGTTCTAATCCTTCCAAAGAGGGAGCTAGGGAAAGTTCTTAAAGGAACTGAACCTAGAGTCAGACAGGATCCTTAGGGGCTTACTCATGTCAGTGTGAGTAGGAGGACTACATTGGTCGAGATTTTTGGTTTCAAGGGAACAAAACCCAATTCAAACAAGCTCAAGCAAAAAGAGAGGCTTATTGGCTCCTGTAAATGGGAATTTGGGCACTGCTAGATCCAGAGGCTCAATGTTACACCCTCTCTCCCTCTCTGCTTCTGCTTCTCTAACTCTTTGACCTCACCGCCTACTCCAGATGGGCTCCTCCCACATTCTTTCAGCTGCCACAGGGAAAGATGGGTTCCCAGCTCACATTGCCCCAAATTAATAACCCCAGAGAAGAAAGAGCCAAATCTTCCAGCAACCCTAAATAAGAGTGCAGGACAGTGGCTCAGCAGAGGTCATAGGCTCATTCCTTGTTCAACTGCTGTGTCCAGGGAAATAAGGTTCTCTGATTGGTCAGGTCTAGTTCACATGTTTACTCCTGTGACCAGGGAGGCAGGGAGGTAGGGCCTGTTACTACAACTGACCTTTGAACAATGTGGGGTTTAGAGGCACTGACCACCCCTCGACCACTGAGCATTCAAAAACACACATATACCTTTGGACTCCCCCAAAACTTAATTACTAACAGCCTACTGTTGACGGGAATCCTTACTGACAACATAGTTGATGAACACAGATTTTATATGTTATCTGTATTATATACTGTATTCTTACAGTAAAGTAAGCTAGAAAAAAATGTTTTAAGAAAACCGTAAAGAAGAGAAAATACATTTATGGTACTATACGTATATTTATTGAATAATTTATTTCAATGTATTTATTGAAATATTTCAATTTCAATATATTTATTGAAAAAGTCTGCATTTAAGTGGACTCTCACACTTCAAACCCATCTTTTCCAAGGGTCAGCTGTAGAAGAAGAGGGTGGGAAATGTTGCTAGTCAGACAAAACCAATAGCCACCAACTTTTGGGGGGCATTTGTTAAAGTGATGTGGAGAATCTCACCGGGCTTTAGAGATGGACAGTATTGCCCAGCCTCCCCTGGGACTTGGGAAGCTGTCTGGACCAGAGGCAGCTCCCTGTCAAGGCAGCATGGTCTCTCTTTCAGGGGGTCTCTGCTGCCCTCTGCACATCTTTTCCCATTTTTCTCTGCTGATTGGCTCATTCTGCTTATAGAGTTTCTACCCCCTCTTAGCCTTATGTTGCACATAGCTGCAGCCTGCTGAGGCTCATCCAGGTCTCTGTGTCGAAGTCACATTGCCAAAGGGTAGGCATATTGGAGAGAGTTTGGGGCCATCTATGGAAACAATCTATCAAGTCTGGAGAAGGGCGAGTCTAAACATACTTACCCCAATCCTAAAAGTTTTTTATGATTTCCCCCTTCCTTCCACACAAGGTTTGGTTGGTTCCCCCCAGGACATGGTGGAGGCTGGGCATATCCCTCCATTCTGTACCCCCTTCCAGCCAGATGCCCTCCAGGCTACGCCAGTGTGTTCTCACGCTGCTCCCACCCATCTGTGCAGACGTGTAGGCTCACACAGAGATGCCCCTTGTCTGCTTCCTGACCTGTACCTTGGGACAGGTGACATTAGTGGCTGCACCCCGGACTCTGAACCAAGAGGGGACAGTGCGCTGGAACTCCAGGATGGTGGTCCAGTAGTCTTTGTTTCTCAAGCTCCTTTTCTACCCTTCCTCTCTTCGCCACTTCATAACCACCCCTAGTTCTGCAGATGGAACCTGTGAGCGCGAGCCCCCTACTGGAAGTCCAGGGGCCAGCAAGAACCTGGGTTCGCAGTGCTGGGTGACTCCCCGGTATGGGTCCCCGGCCAGGCTGAGGGGACCTGGTCTCGCCACTGACTTTAAAGGTCCTTCCGCCTTGGGGGGGAATAGTTGCCCAGCTGGGCCCTCTGTTGTGCGCCCGACTAGGAGCAGAGTCCTGCTCAAGGACGGAGCTGTCCATCCACCACCACCTCTCCCTCCGCAGAACGGACTAGGGTCTGCCAATCGGATTCCCAGGGCCCTGGCACCAGAGGGCAAAAAGGCGGGTTAGCTTTTGGCGGAAAGGAGGCTAGCTTTTCATTTTCTCCTTTGAGGATTACCATCCTGGGAAAAAAGTTGTCAGGCCTCTCCTCTCTCCGTGCCCTCGAGCACCAGCGAAGACCACGATCCCTGAAATCCCGAATCCGCCGCAGCCCGCAAGCCCAGCTTCAGGGCCCCTGCTCCTGGGAGCCCGAGAGGCCAAACCCTCGCTAGTTACCACCCCCCATCCCGGCATTCACTTGGGGACTCAGCTGCCCCCCAGGACACATCCAACATCAGCAGCCCGCCCGCAGCCGAGAGGGGGTTTATCAAGCCCCCGCCCCCGCCACCCCGCGGCGGCTCGCGCGCGCACACTCCCCGCCGCGGCCCGCCCCCTTCTCACGCCCGCGCCGCGCCTCCGCGCCGCAGTGCAGCCCCGCCAGCGCCGCGTCCCCGCCGCCGCCCGCTCCGGCCGGCAGGGTGGCCGCGGAGCATGGAACCCGCGGAGCTCCGGGAGCCCCGCGAGCCCGGGCGGGGGGCACAGACCGCGGCGGCCCCGTGCTGGGAGGAGACCAAGACTTTCTACGAAAACCTCACGCCCAAGAAGAAACCCAAATCGGTAACGGCAGGGCCTGGGTACGGAGAAGGGCAGGGGAAGGGTCACCGAGGGAGGGTCGTAAGCCCCCTGGAGAGGAATCCGTGGCAGCCCTCCGGGAGGGGACGCAGCTCCTCAGCACCAGAATGTGCCTGCCCGTTGGCACGGGCTTGCGTTTATTTTGGGAGCTCTGAGCAGGTGTTTCTCCCCCCCCCCCCCCCCCGCCCCCTGGGGCTCGGGTTCCACGCCAGGAGTCCCCCTCCCCCATGCTGTCCTCAGGGCCCAGCTCCTCCGCGAGCCGGCAGCCAGGGGCGCGCGGGCAGCACTTGTTGGCATAGCGGGTCTGCCGCGCCTGCCCAAGCGCCCCGGGCTCGGGTAACCTGACACTGGAAACCCGGCTCCTCGTTGTGCGCTCTGCTCCCTGCCATCTGGGCATCGGGCTCCGGACCCGAGCGTCTGCGTTCGGGCTCTGGCTCGCGGTCCTGCGCTGTGGGCTCCGGGTACTGCTCTGCCCGCGTCCTAAGGGAAGGGAGCTGCGCTGGAATCTTCTTCGCCCTGCGTTCAGGGCTCCCAACGCTCCGCCACAGCTGCGGGCTCTGCTCCCCTCGCAGCGGGCATCAACATCCCCGTGACCCCTGGGGTGGTCTCAGCTTTGGGACACTCACACAGAGGAGAGAGCTCCTCTTCCCATCGGACAGATTTCTGATGTCCCGGTTGTGCCCTGGGCCTTGCTCATTCCTGCTTCCCAGATCTCAGAGCTTGGGAAGGGGACTGAACGGAGGTTGACCCAGAGGCATCCTCCAAGCAGTCCCACCCTGACCTTAAAGCATCCTGCTGCTTCCCTCCAAGGGCCCTTCCCCAGGAGGCCCACCCTGTCAACAGTCATTCCCTGCAGTATCTCTAGGCCCTGCTCAGCAGTGCGGATTCAGAGATGAATTTGGCTGAGTCCCTGCCTCAGGAGCTCAGGGTGCACTGAGGGAGACCCTGGCCATGGTGAGTGCTCAGATGAAAGACCCTACATGGTCTCGAGAGTGTACAGGAGTGAGTGACTGCCCACTAAGGAAGGCTTTGCTCACATGGCGTTTGAGCTCACCTTAAAGCCTGAGTAGGCAGTATTTCCCAGGCAGATGGGGAAACAGGATGGGCAAAAGGCTTGGGGATGTCTTTGAAACTGAGTGGGAGAATGCAGAATCTTTGGGAGATACATGGGAGGGGTGCCAGAGACACATCCAGGGCCTTGAATGCCATACTCAGGAACCTGGGTATTCAGTGGAGTTAGGGGTTTTAAAACCAGGTTCCACTGGGGCCCCATGTTTCTGGAGATCTGCACACATGTGGATCTAATTTATTTTCTTTTTCCTTCCAGTTACCTCTTAAACAATTAAAAATGTGTAATAAAAACCTCAATTCACTCAAATGTGTTATGTGGCCATCTTAGCACCTTCAATACCACCAATAGATTAATTTATGCTGCAGGTTGATTAGTTGTTTTGTTTTGTTTTGTTTTTTAAGCAAACCTCAGGATAAAGCTTTCCCTGTGAACTGTTTACTAGAAGTTTATCTTGAGATTGCTGGCAATTATTGTTGCTGAGTATCTTGAGGCTTATAGTTTAACACAAAACAAAAATTTTTTGCCATTTGCAACCACTTGTTGATGGGACTCAGGACTTTATCATTACTGTGCACAAACCAACAAACACAGGAACAAATTAACTAGATGACGAAGTTTAAGTCTGCGCTGGCGGCCTAACCCCTAGTTTCAAATTTATCACCTACACACCTTGTGCTGTTGCCATTGGTTGACATTATAATAAATAATAAATAAATAAATATATAATAAATATATCATGTACATGTTATGATGTACATGTACATCAAATACATTTGAATCAAAAAGTAAACTAGTAAAATAAATTTATACTAATAAACTATAGTAATATCTGATTTACATACTGGGGTTCGGCCCAGGAGTTCATGGAAATAAAACATCAACCTACTTTTTTAAAAGTATGAAAACCATTTTTCAGCAGGATTTTCCAGCAGGGGATTAACTTGGTCCCATTTCATTTGAGCACCATCACTCTGGGGCTGCATGGGGGATGGATGGGAGACGGTGAGTCTGGCAGCAGGCAGACCAGTGAGGAGGTCCCTGGTCCCTGCCTGAGGAGGAAGCTTAACTAATGTCATGGCCATGGCCCAGGAGATGGACACTGGGGCTGGGGTGGTGAGTGGAGCTCACCAATACGTCTCCTGCTCAAGCACCATGGAGCCAAGGAGCTCAGTCCTAGTGGTCAGTCATGACCCCTGATGCCTCATGGTCCTCTGGGACGCAAGGGGCCTGGCGGCCTCCTGGCCCCTTCTCCTTCCTGTAATAGCCCCTCCTCCCACAGGCTATTTTGGGGGCTTTAGGCCTCTTGGGCCCCATCAGAGCGTGGTCTCATTCCCAGGAGCCTGAGTGAAATATTTAAGCCCTGAAGGCCCACAGGAGCCCCTCACCTCACGAGGTCAGAGGACTCCTCAGTCCAGACCTACCTTGTCCCACTCTCCTCCAGCAGTTCTTCCCCCAGTAAAACTGTTTACAATTAACAGCTTTTGGCTGTGTTCCTCTCTTGGGCCCAACAGGCAGAATCATGTCAGTCTAAATGAGAGCTCCTCAGGCAGGCTAGGCAGGGCTGGCTCTCCTCCATTATCCCCCCACCTGCCCCCCAGCACCAGTGGAAGGCAGAGAACTGGCAGGACCCTGGCTCCCTGGAGCCCATTGTTCCCAGGCTGAGTCCCCGGCCTAGGACAAGGGTCTCCCTGACCCAATTCCCAGTCTGGAATCGGGACTTCTTTTTGTGTTCTGGAGGAACTGTTTGTTCTTGGGTATGCCAAACAACACATGAAGGGTGGTATCCCCCTGCAACTAGGTCCAGAGGCGTCTCCAAGTGCTTGGCTTCTCTCCAGCTCTGGCCAGCCCTTTGCCTGTCCCTTCAGCTCTGAGCGAGCCTGGAAAGGCCACTCTTTCTGTTTCTCTCACAGCAGTTCATGCCCTCTGGGCCCTAAGACCCTCCCCTCCTGGTGCAGAGTCAGAGCAAGAAGAGCCGGCAGAGGGTCCTGTCCTGGGGACCTCCATTCTGAGGAGAAAGAGAGCCCTGCCCTTAGAAACCTCAGTCTGGGGGCATGGTTTCCCTCACCATTTCTCCCAAATCCATAAGGTGAGGGCTGCATGGGGCAAGTGTCCCAAGGAAGTGGCTGAAATAGAAGGGGTTGGGGGTCATCTGGAAGCTATCAAGGAAAGGCATATGGGGGGGGGTGCTGCTGTGTGGACAGAGGTCAGGTTAGAGGCCAGAGACTTGGGATCTTACCTACCTGGATCTTCTTGACTTTGCTGTGTGACCTAGAGTAATACTCTGTCCCTCTCTGAGTCTACTTGCCCATTTGGAAAAGAAGGAAGTGGAGACTCCTGGGGCCAAGACAGCTGGGATATCTTTCTTGTGATGGCCAGAGGTGGGATGGGTTGGGGTCTGAGTAGCTCAACCAGAGGGGACCCAGAATGCAGAAGTCTGGCAGGGACTGTGGGACAGCAAGTGAAGAGCGAGACCTTGGCCTGCTGCCTGGGCTGGAGTGGCTGGCTTGGGAACCTGCCTGAAGGGGCCAGGAGGGCAGCTGGCTCTCTGTCCTTGAAGGGGTGATGGGCCTGTCCCTGGGGCAGTAAACCCAGCAGGCTTCCTGTGTTTATAAGAGTGGTCTCCCCACTCCCCCAACCCTACCCACCCTTACCATCCCTGGCCAGCCCTCTATCACCCCTTCGCTTTTACTTTACATTCTTTCCTTGAAAGCTCACAGTTGCCGAGGGGGTTGGGAGGTACCCAACCCGTGATCACACGAACAGGGGTGGCTGGCAACTGGAACAGTACTTGGGTTGAGCCCCAGAGAAGAGGCACCTGTCCTGCTCGCCATTGCCTTTCCCTGACCCTGCTGGCCAGATATACCATCTTTGTTGGGGTAAAAGTCAAATGCAAACTGAGGCTGACGGCAGGTGCTTGGGGAACTCTTTGGTCTTCCGTTTACTACTTTGAGGTTTAAAGGTTCATTAGCCACTAGCCATTCATAGCTACTTAAATTTAAATTGATTGAAATTAAATACAATTAAAAATCCAGTTCCTCAGTCTCACTAAGTACATTTCAAGTGACTGAATGTATCTGTTATCACAGAAAGTTCTACTGGATAATGCTCTTCTAAAGGATGGCACAAATCTCTGTCTTAGGGATAGATCATAAGCTCCACAGGGGTGGGGATTGTGTCTCTATTGTTTCCTGCCATGTCCCCAGCACAGTGCCTGTCACGTGGTAATCACTCAATGTTGTCCACTGATTGGGTCCCAGGCTTGATTCCAGAGAGAAGCAGTGGAGTTGAGTACGTGGCCCGCAGTGCTCTCAGGAGCAGGCCAGAATTTGAGATCCATTTATGCATTTGTAAAAAATGCATCCAGATCCATTTGAGATCCAAGTCCCTACCAGGACCACTCCCAGGCAGAGCCCAGGGACCTGGCACAAAGAACCAGTAGGTGTTTGTAAAATTTGCATCAACCAAAAAAAATATTCTCGGAGCACCTACTGTGTGTCAAGCAATCTGAACAGATTAGGGTACTGCCCTGGAGTTTCCAGTTCATGTTAAATCCGTCATAGCAAATACTGTTTCTCACTGAAGTAGATTATGTGAGAGTTCAGAAGCATTACAAATTTACTGAGCACCTACTATGTGCTAGGCACAGTTTTAAGCACTATAGATACTCTAAATGAACAAGATAGTCCTGGCTTATGCTCCCTCAGAACTTAAGCCTGGTCCCTGCTTCCTCCCCAGAACTCTGTCTAGAAATAGAAATAGTTAAATAAGCAAATAGGGCCATGCTACATTTAACTAAAAAAGGAAATCTATGGGAGAGGTAGCAAGCCCATACTAGGAGTGAGGGAAGGCTTCCTGCAGGTGACATGTAGTTTGAGACCTGTAGGTTGGGGAGAAGTTAGCTGGATGAAAAGCCAAGGAAAGAGCAGATCAGGCAGTGGGCACCTCATGTGCAAAGGCTCATGGACAGACAGGAAAGTATGCTCAGACATGAGAAAGGTCAGACTGAGCAAAGTGGGATAGCAGAAAGGTGACAGTGCGGAGAGGTAGGTGTCTGTCTCCAAGAGCTTCTTACTCCATACTCAAGGCTGGGGAACAGCGTTTGAGAGGAGTGGGTACCACTGAAAGGGAGAGGAGCATCATCAGATGTGAACTTGAGAAACATCCCCTAACAACAAATTGGATGACCTGAGGTGGGAGATGGTGATGGACTGGACTTTGGCAGGGAAGGCACAAAGAAGTGGATTCTATAGAGTTGACAGGTTTTGGTGATTGATTGATGGATGGATGGCTGGATGTAGGGAGGGGAGTTGAGGACAGGGGAAGAGTTGAGGTTGACTTCTGGGCTCTGGCCTCAGTGTTGAGTCCATGTGGTGCTGAGCACTGAGATGAGGAGGTGGGTGGAAGACCAGGTTTGGAGGTGCAGGGAGTGGTGGGAATTCAGCCTTGGGTACGTTGAGTTTGAATGTCTGTTAGTCAACTGGGACAATTAGATGTATCAGTCTGGATCTCAGGAGAAAGATCTGGGCTGGAGATAAATTTTCTTATATAACTGCCATGTTTCTGAGCACCATTTCTTCCTAAGGAACATGTAGCTCTCATTTTATAATGGAAACCATCTGGAGACCATCTTGAGCATCAGTCATACTCTGGCTACATACACTGTATTCATTTTTCCATTGTGTCCAGATGGCCAACTAGACTGCAAACTCCCTGAGGGGATGTCCTCCCACCAGATCGTGCTCCTTGGTAGGGAGCCACCATCTCCCTCAGTTCCTGGCTGGGTCCTGCAAGGAGGGAGTCCTGACCCAGGTCTGCCCCTGCCCAAGGCACCCAGAGAGGCAGGCACGTGAGACCTGCTTCAGGGAGTGTGAGTAACAGCTTTCCTCCTGCGCCTCTGCAGCCCAAGCCTCAGAATGCTGTCACCATTGCTGTGTCCTCCCGAGCCTTGTTCCGCATGGACGAGGAGCAGCGCATTTACACGGAGCAGGGCGTGGAGGAGTATGTGCGCTACCAGCTGGAACATGAGAATGAGCCCTTCGGTCCCGGGCCAGCCTTCCCCTTCGTGAAGGTGGGTGCCATATAGTGCCTTTGTGGGAATTAGAAAAAGCACTCCTGGGGCGCCTGGGTGGCTCAGTCGTTAAGCATCTGCCTTCGGCTCAGGTCGTGGTCCCAGGGTCCTGGGATCAAGCCCCGCATTGGGCTCCCTGCTCAGCGGGAAGCCTGCTTCTCCCTCTCCCTCTCCCCCTGCTTGTGTTCCCTCTCTCTCTGTGTCTCTCTCTGTCGTAAATAAATTAAAAAATCTTTAAAAAAAAAAAAAAAAAAAAAGCACTCCTGGGTGTTTGAATAAGGAAAGGGGGCCCCCTCTAGGCAGATGCCGGCCCGCAGGAACACAGCTTGGCAAGGGGACAGAGCCATTGTGGGAAGAAGCCTCCCTGTCCTCAGTGCTAATGCAGCCCAACTCCGGGTCACTAGCTTGGTGAGTGGAGCTGGCCTGGATTTTGGCCCCCACTCACTCTGTACTGAGGTGCCCCTGTGCAGCAATCAACCAGCACGATGGCTGAGGTTAGGATGAGACAGTCCACGTCCACGGCCAGTCCCTGACCATCCCTCTCTGCCCCCATTAGATCCCAGCTCACTCCTCCCCAACACTGGCTACCAACTCCAGATGTCAGTCCCTGGGGGTCTGAGCAGGAGGGTCCCCTCTTCCATCCAGGCTCTGGAGGCTGTGAACAGGCGGCTGCGGGAGCTGTACCCCGATAGTGACGACATCTTTGACATCGTCCTTGTGACCAACAACCACGCTCAAGTGGGTGTCCGTCTGATCAACAGTATCAACCACTATGGTGAGCATCAGGGGCTTGGCCATGGGACACGACTACTAGACACTTGGGGTTGCGGGGGCGGGGGTCACATCTCTGCAGGGGGTAGGTAATACCAACTAGAACCTGAAGCCCAGAGGTACGCTGGTCAGCTGGTTCCTTAAGAAAACAAAACAAACCAGAAGGGAAAAAACAAAAGCTCTGATTGTAGCATTGTCATCTTAGGGTGTGAATATCCCTCCACGGCTGATTTCAAGTTATCGACAGTTGAACAACCTAACTGGCTCAAAAAAAATCCCTGAATGTTTAATGTTCAGCTCTTGCAAGCTGATACAAGCCAGCTCCAGCAAACCACTGCATAGGCCCCGCTGCCTATGTATTGGGCAGGGCACCTGCTGCCTCTGTGCCTCAGTTTCTCTCTCGGCAATGGGGCTCACAGGCCTTACAAGGGTGCTAGGAGAAGCAGGTGCAGTTTTCAGAGTGAAGGGACTTTGTGTCTTAGTCCAAACTCTTGATTGAAAGTAATAGGCCCTCCAGAGCTAGCTTAAGCTGAAGAGAAAACGGTAATTTCTTTTTTTTTTTTTTTTAAGATTTTATTTATTTATTTGACAGAGAGAGACACAGCGAGAGAGGGATCACAAGCAGGGGGAGTGGGAGAGGGAGAAGCAGGCTAGGCTGCCCATGGAGCAGGGAGCTCGATTCGGGGCTCGATCCCAGGACCCTGGGATCATGACCTGAGCCGAAGGCAGACGCTTAACGACTGAGCCACCCAGGCGCCCCGAGAAAACGGTAATTTCTTATTAGGTTAAAGGGGTGTCTCTTAGAACCACAGGGCAGGAAGTAAAAGTGAACGCATAACAGCCTGAATCCAAGTACTGGAAATCTCTTCTGGGCTTTTTCTCTCCCGGCCACATGAGCCCTTATTTCTGCTTCTCTCAGCAAGTCTGTTTCCATCCCCCCCACCCCCATCTCTCTCTCCAAACTAGGTTTCTCTGCTTTTCCTGAATATGGCCAAAATGTATACGTTTACAAATTCTTGTTTTAAGCAACCAACAGAGTTCGGTGGCCTTTTTGTAATCCTAATTTCAAATTGCTGGGAGCAGGATGATGTTCAAAATATTTAACTACCTTAGGACACAGGCACGGAGTAATCAGGAGACACCATCCACAGTACTGGAGCACGGCCCTCCAGAGATTGTCCCGCACGAGGGGCTGAGGCAGTGATGACGTAACTCAGTGGGCTCAGGGGAGCACCAACTTACCAACCAGCACAGCTTTCCCACCCTGTGCGCGCAGGCGTACTAGGTGACTATCAGCCCAGGCTTGGAGAGGATGTGATTGGCCCAGCTTGGGTCAGGTGTCTGCCCCTATCCAATCAGCTATGCCCAGGAGGGCCAGGCTTTGCCTGGAGACCCACCTTTCGTAGTACTGGGATTACCTGACGAGAGGCTTTTCCCTTGGGCCAGGTGGTCACTCCTGGTCCATCATCCATATTTCATGGATGAAGGATGGAGGGGCACAGAGAGGGGAAGAGTGGCCTAAAATCCCTCCGAGAATCCCTCTGCTGCCCCATCACCACTCAGAACCAAGAGGGCGCCCACCGGACGCGGAGGGACCGCTCTGAGGCTCTGAGGGTTGACTCAGGCATCACCTGGGTACTTTCTACCTCCTTCCCAGACCTGTTCATTGAGCGGTTCTGCATGACAGGTGGGAACAGCCCCATCTGCTACCTCAAGGCCTATCACACCAACCTCTACTTGTCAGCTGATGCGGAAAAAGTGCGGGAAGCCATTGATGAAGGTGCGTCATACTGGGGAGGGAGAACATGGGGAGTCTGACAAAGGAGTTCCAGAGGTTGGGGGGGGGGCTCTCCCTAAAGCTCTGAGCAGGTGCTAGGGGTTACCGTGGTAATTGGAAAGGGCGTACCTTCCTTCATCCCTATGACCTGTCCTGTAAACTCTGAGAATAAGGCCCACCTATTCCACTGATTGCCTTTCTAGTCCACTCTCCCACCTCCCGCCCTGCCATGGTAAGGATGCTTTTACTCATCAGCATCCCCCAGCCTTCTCTTCCCATGGAAACCCTCCTTACAGCCCAGAAGGCTACTCCCTTCTAAGAATCCTCCAGGTCCGTAGTTCTGATGCCTGTGTGACCATAAGCAGCCTCTGCCCCCGTCTGGGTCAGTGGGGAGGAAGGTCAATATCTAGTTCATCCTGAGCACTGAGGTCTGGGAAATGGCTAGCATTGCAGTAGCTGGCCTGGCCAGGGCTGAGGTGAGGTTAGGAGACCCAGCTGCAAGTCCTGACGAAGGACCCTCTATGGGTCCCTGTCAAGGGGCAGTTTAGGGTGGTATTCACAGTCTTGGTCTTCCTGACAAGGTGTGTATCCCTATTGCTCATGGAAGAAAACAGGCCCACAGGGGAGGAAGGACTGCCCCACTGTCTGAGAGGGCTTCTCAGGCTGAACACTCCTGGCAGGTTTCTATCAATCAGCAATATATCTACTTTTTTTTAAAAGATTTTTTAAAATTTATTTTTGCGCACGCGCGTGCGAGAGAGAACACGAGCAGGGGGAGGGCATAGGGAGAAGCAGACTCCCCCCCCCCCACCCACCATGAGCAGGGAGCCCGATACAGGGCTCGATCCCAGGACCCTGGGATCATGACCTGAGCCGAAGACAGATGCTTAACCAACTGAGCCACCAGGAGCCCGACTTTTTTTTTTTTTTTTTTTTTGATATCCACTTTTCTCCTCCTCTTTCATGCTGTCTGCTGCCTAGAAGCCTGGCCTCTTGCCTCGCAATGCCTCACTCTGAGTTGCTTTGGGCTTCAAGAGGCTTTCTCTCACCAGAAACCAGAAGCAGTTCCCCTAAGCAGATGTCACACCCTCTGGTTGGGGCCTTGGCACTGACCTGAATGTGTGCCTCTATATGTCTATAATTTGAGGCTAGTGAGCAGGGGATGGTCAGGAGGGAGGCCCTGCCTAGAGTTGGGTGGTCCTAGTTCATCTTGGCTCCAGTGTTGCAGGCGCTGAGAAGGTGCCCGGCTTGATGCCCAGGGCCTGGTCCTACTTAGAGCATCATCAGGCTGCCAAAGTTGCTGGGAGCTTGGCACTGCTCTCTCCTCCCAGAGTTCTGCCCTAGCCCAGCCCTTGTGAGCCTGGAGTCCCAAGAGCAGGGCTGAAGCAGCCTTTGGGGAGATGACCAGTAGAGAACAGACCTGCAGGCCTCCAGCCTCCTAGCGCTGGCTCTCTGCTGTCCAGTGCAGCTCCAATCTGGGGCCTGGGCTCCCAGAGGCATCCTTGACTCCTGGAGAAGCCCAGGGTTGCAGAGAGTCTCTGTACACAGTCAGATGGCATTGGTACTGCCTTTGATGGTCACCCACGTTGCCTCAAGGAACCCTGAGTGGGGCATACCAGGTGCCATTGAGACAGTACGTGGGGTGCCCATAGACCTCAGCCTGGGATCTCAGCTCCAGACAGAACTCAAACACCCTTAATTTTACTTTGGTCCAGAGAAGGTGTTGATTACTTGCCAGAATCAACAGTAGAGAGTAACTGAGGCCAAGCCAGGGTTGGGGCTCCTTCCTAGCCCCACCGTAGATCTACATCAGGTGCCTGTGAAGATCTCCTAGGAGGACAGCAGTGGCCTGGGGGACCCTTCCTTCCAGTCAGGATTGACATTCAGCTGGTCCATACCAGCACGACCTTCCTGGATGTTAAGGAATTGAAATTTCTCCATACTGATTGCTAAACAGCTGCTTTCCTGAGTCCTCTGAGTGACCCCTCTTTCCTGGGGCTCCCCTAGACCTTCCCACAAGGCAGGAACTAAAGGGAAACCCTGATATGGGCCAGGGCCCTCAGAGCCCTACTCAGAGCAAAAGCCTCTGTCCATTCTTATTGACCAGTTTTTAAATATTCTGAATATGAGCCCTCATTAGCCTTGCCCCGTGTCCTGGGTGAGGCTGGTGGGGCACGGCTAGCCCGAGATGGCCTTCTCTTGGCCCCAGGCAGTTGAGGCAGGTGTCAGGGGCCCCTGTTACCTAGATGAAGGCAGACAACACTTGCCTCTCTCTGCCCAGGGATCGCAGCCGCCACCATCTTCAGCCCCAGCAGGGATGTGGCTGTATCCCAGAACCAGCTGCGCGTGGCCTTCGATGGGGATGCTGTGCTCTTCTCGGATGAGTCGGAGCGCATCGTCAAGGCCCACGGGCTGGACAGGTTCTTTGAGCATGAGAAGGCCCACGAGAACAAACCTCTGGCCCAGGTGCTGCACACACTCCCCAGAACCCCTGAGAGGAGCGAGGCGGGTCCCCAGAACTTGCCCTGGGCTGGAACTTCAAGCCCAGAACCAAAACCCCAAGCTCAGCCCAGAATCCAGCCAGGTCCCCTCACCAGGCCTCCGGCCCTCATCCCTCTCACCTGACCCCTGGGGCCCCCTCAGTGAGCTTCTACGCCTCGTTGAACCTCATCTCCCTCACTGCAGTCCTATGCCCCACCCTTAAAGCCCCCGTTCTCTCTCTGAGCTCCCCTGCCCGCTGAAGGTTCCTTCCCCTTTCTGAAGGCCTCACTCTGTCTCCAAAGCCGCCATCTTCTCTCTGGAACCCCCATCCCCTCTCGGAGATTCACCCACCCCTCTGAGTAGTCTCCCAGGTCCTCAAGAAGCCCCTGCTTCCCTCACTGGAGGAGAGGAAAAGCTGGGCAGCTCCTCAGAGGGCAGGGAGACCCAGGTGGGGGTGGAGTCTGGAGCAACCTGCCTGCTTTGGGCCACATCAGCCCTCGCACCTCCTGCCATCTGTCCCTTGGCCGGGAGGCTCAGCAATCCTCCCACTGCTTGGAGTCTCCCTGAGAGTAGACTATGCCCTGGAGCTTTGAGAAAATTCCCTGGGGTTGGAGGTGTTGGGATCCACAGACTTCTGGAGCTCCTATTTGTGCTTTTAACCAAAACCTGGGTGTACAGTAATCCTGAACTTCTTTCCCCAAGAGCTCAGCAGGCTTGAGTTGTGGCTCCCAGATATTCATCTGACTTCATTCTTGTGGAGTTCCCCTGAAATCGCTGGAAACCCAGGGCAGGACCAGTTTTACCACTAACTGGCAGACAGGCCCAGGAGACCACCCCTTGCTCCAGGTCACCCTGTCAGGGAGGGGTCTCTAAGATTAGAAGCCCACCTGCCCTCATGTCCAGCCACTGATGCAGTTTTCTTCTTCATCAGCATCTGGTTCTTTATTCGCACAGCCTCATTCAGCCTTGTCATTCTAGGCATGGGAGAGAGTAAATCTTTCCCCTGACCCTAGAGAGCTGGTGCATAACACCCTGAGCCACCTGTGCCCAGTGGGCAGGTACCCTTTGGTCAGTCTGGCCCAGTTGTTTGCAGCTGGAGTCCATTCTGATTGGAGGGGGCCTGCGCCATGATTACTGAAATACCCCTCTGCTGACATGGCACAGAAGGCCACAGGTACACAGCTACACAGCGGACACCCACGTACCTGGAGGGCACGTGGATGGACATACATAGCAGCAGTTGCCCTGGGATGGTTATTCTGAGCCAGACACCCCCAGTCACAGCAGTACGGATGCCCAGACCGACAGAGGTACCTCACCACTGATGCACACGGTGGCCCCAGCAGGTGTAGCAGAGCTGGGAGATTGAGGGGTCTCGAAAAGCTTCCCCAGCCCAAATAGCAAGACACTGGTGCTTTGGGGAGGAGCCCCGCTGGAGAGGGGGTGAATGTTTGGGAGACAGAGGTGTTCACCGTGTTCCCATGCCTTCTCCTAGGGCCCCTTGAAGGGCTTTCTGGAGGCACTGGGTAGGCTGCAGAAGAAGTTCTACTCCAAGGGCCTGCGGCTGGAGTGTCCAATCCGCACCTACTTGGTGACAGCGCGCAGCGCAGCCAGTTCGGGGGCCCGGGCTCTCAAGACCCTGCGCAGCTGGGGCCTGGAGACGGATGAGGCCTTGTTCCTTGCAGGAGCGCCCAAGGGCCCCCTCCTTGAGAAGATCCGCCCACACATCTTCTTCGATGACCAGATGTTCCATGTGGCCGGGGCGCAGGAGATGGGCACAGTGGCCGCCCATGTGCCTTACGGTGTGGCACAGACGCCCCAGCAAACTGCGCCTATGAAGCAGGCCCCAGGCGCACAGTAGCTGAGGCCCGAGACAGGCACAGCTCCCTGTCCGTACTCCACCACGTCGTCCAGTGGACCCTTCTAGTTCCTCACCGCTCTGTCCTTCTGCACGTCTGCCCTCATCCCCACGAGTGAGGTACTTGCGGGGAGTGATGCAGACCGAGCCGGCATCCTCACCAGCCCTCCTTTTGGGCAAACACTGTGCCACGACCCCGGCTAGGAGAGTAAGACTGCAGAGTAGCTGGGTTTCGGGTGGGGGCGGTTGATGGGAACGAGGCTGACAGTGTCAGAGGGGCCAGGCTGCCTCCAAGGGGACCTGGGATGAAGACTAGCTCAGTGTGGTGCAGAGACCATGGCTTTGCTAGAGAAGGCATCCGGCTTCTGAGCTCTACCCGGCATGAACTGATGACTTTGGGTAAGTCCCTCCCTTTCAGGGGCCTCAGTTCCGGCGTCTTGTAGGTGGCTTCCAAACTCTCCTGGAGCTGCAGAAGCGTGGTTTAATAAGATCGCCCTGCCCGGGGCTGCTGCTAGACCATATGGTATCTTTGTGCAGTTAGAGCAGAACATTTCGAGAATGAATTTCAAAAAGATGGCCCTTTGCTCTGGGCTGACCCAGACCCACACTGGGGTCCGCGGCTTGCTCAGCAGCACATAACCTGTAACTCAGCCCCCAAGGGCTCCTCAGCTTGGAGGCCTTTGTCAAATGGGCAAAATGCACAACCGTCTGCAGAACCCTACCTCTAATTCTGCACGTTTGGAAGCCACTGGACAAGAAGACCTGTCCGCTTCCCGTGAGCCTCTACTGTGAGTCACCCATCAGGGGTCAGCTGCCAGGGGGCACGGTTTGTGGAAGGAGAGAGGCGTGAATTTAACCTACACGCAAACTCTCCTTCCGCCAGCAGGGGGCACTGCAGGCTCTTCCCGGGGAAGAGCTTTCGGGATGGCCTGCTCAGGGCTTCCTTTGCTTTTGCTTTTAGCCAAAGTTCAGTTGTTCTGCCTGCCAACCCCCTCACGTCAGCCCTCAGTCCTTCAGTTACTGCATTCTGCTGTGCTGCCAAGCGGCTTTACCAGCGGGGAAGAGGGAGAGGGTTGGGGTTCACTGTTGTGGGCCCAAATGCAGGGGAAGAAAGCTCAGTGGCTCAAGTGGGAGGGCGTCCTGCATGCACCCAAGGGACGGTCTGCCCAAGGTGACGTGGGAAAGTCTGGTCTGAGGCAGTGACCCATTAGACAGGAAGGAGCTGAAAGGTGCACTAGCAAGATTCTCCAGCTGTGGGACTTTGAGTGGAAGGACTGAGCTCTCTGTCCCGGGATGCTGCGCAAGGGACTCCAGAATGAGGAGACCTCCCCCAGCAGTGCACCAGTGAATCCTCCACCTTGCAGGAGCCTCTGCAGCCCCTTTGTCACCACTTCTAGGGGAGAGCTCTCACTCTTTGGTGAGTCAGCTTCCTCTTTTGCTAACGAGCCTGGCTCTCTCTGAAGGGAGGGTGGGGACACTGATGGCTGGTCCCTCAGGAAGACTCAGAAAGGGTGAGCAGCCGTCTGTGAGGGCGACTGATTGCCCGGCTCCCGGGGCATCCCAGCTGTAAGCAAGCACTTTGTGAAGAAAGCCAAAGGTGCCATCATAGGGAGCAGGAGCCTGGAGGTGTGTGCAGGAGAGCTGGACCGCTGGTGAGGGTGGGAAAAAGAGGTGAAGGGCTACCTGGGGCCTAACCTTTGTCATTTTGAGGACTCAGCACAGGATCTGAGTGGGGCCAAGTTCTGGGTAGTGTAGGGCAGGATAGTAGCTGCAGAAAGGAGGAAAAAGTGAGGAGACGGAGGTGGTTCGCAAAATGAGCAACAGTTAGGGCCAGAAGAAGAGTGTCGGGCTGGGTTTTCACTCTCTGTGTGGAAGCTGGGCCTGGGAGGAAGGTCAAGGCCATGAAGAGTTTCTGGGGCAGATCCCACCACTGATGGCCTTATCACGGGAGGGGCATATGATGATGATGTCTTTGTACAGGTCTTTCCATCCACAGCCAGGATACTTCTGGCCAAGAGAGGAGGCCTCAGGGCAGGGGGCCTGGTTTTGAGTTCTTCACTCTGCTCCAAGCCTGGCCAGAGATACTGGGAGAGGTAAGAACAGCCTCTAGGAAAGAAAGTGAGAGTGAAAGTCATCTTTGATCTTGGGTGAGCCATGAAAGGCCCTCTGTCCTTCCCCGAGTCAGAATCACCCCCTTGGATGAGCCTCTAGGGCTCACAGAGCCAGCCAAAGCCATAAGCAGCCTGCTTAGCTGGCACAGTCGAGGTTCATAGAATGATATCAGTCTGCGTGACCAGAATGGATATGTACATTAGGCACCAGATGGCGCCTAATTAAGATAAATTCCAGGGATTCTGAGAACCAAGAGGTCCTGCCTCCAGGACCTGGTGATAAACAGCCCTGATTCTTCCAGGTCTATCAGGACGCAGAAAAATATGATGCTGGAAGCAGAAAGATAAGGTGCAGTAAAAGCTGTAGATTTCACTTGAGCCACCAGTAATAGAGATAGACAGCCCTGGGCAGTGAGAGACACTAGGGTCCGGTTCTATTATTGAAACCGTAAATGAACATCTCGGGCCTGGAAAAAAGCTTTTGGTGGCTGGAGTAAAAAGCCAGAATCCTGAGGGCAGGGGAGGCCGTGGCCAGACACATGTTCTGGTTCTTTCCAGTGGTGAGGAGGAGCCCCAGGCAAGGAGCATTGTTTATTGGATCCCCGGGCAAATTAAAACGCCAGGTGAGCATCACAGCCTGTACTGGACTGCAGCACTAGGGCGGGGGGCCACAGCTCCTGAAATGCTGGACCCCAGGAAACCAAAGCACTGCTCCCCGACAAGTCCCTCCGAACGCTCCCCAGGAAATGCTTGCCCACAAAACCCCAGACCCAATGGAAACTGCCACTGAGCAGGAAAGCAAGCACTGTTCCTAGGCACTGAGACTTCGAGGATCATTGCAGAGCTGCTCCCTCCTTTCCCTGAGTGCCCAACCAGAATGGCGGGGATGTAGCAGGAACCACCAGGAGAAATCAAAACCTGCGAGAAGCTCAATTCCGAGTAGGATCCGGCATCATAATGATATTCAACTGGTGTGACTGGTGGGCACCCGAACACCAAACTGGTGATTAAAACATTGAAATACCTCTGTAACAGTTGCTAAATAGCGCTGGCCTGAGCCCCTGAGTGCCCCTCCGTGGCCTCCGCTGTGCTGTCTCCACTGTGACAACAACACCTTCCCACAATTCAGCAAAAAGGGCGTCCTGGAGGTTGCACCAGCACAGTGGCCGTCGTCCGCTCTATTTGCTCGTCTAGAGAGAGTAACTTGCCCAAAGTCACTCAGCGAGTGGCAGCACTGGCCATGAGCCCATGTCTGTCTCTTGGGACCCAGGCTCTCAGCCATTCTGCCGTTCAGCCCAGACAGCATACAGGAGGCAAGAGAAGCTTCGTGACAAGGGAGCTTGCCCAACAGTTAGCATGTTGACCTCCTTCCCGTTAAACTGCTCTAAAACACGCGGGTGGGTACATTGCTGTTGTAGTGTCCTAAATAGCTAGGAAGAATTTAAATTAGAGCCAGACATTTGCAGAACTGAAGCACCACCCAGGTTCTCTGGAACCCAGTTTGAAGGCCCTCATATGGGGCTCATGCCGGCTTTGGCAAATTATGGGCCAAATCTAGCTCACCACCTGTCTTTGTAAAGAAACTTGTTGGAACACAGCCATGCCCATTGGTTTTGCACACAGCAGCAGAGCTGAGTTGTTTCAACAGAGACCAAGAAGCTGAAAATATTTATCTGACCCTGGGCGAAGGCAAACATCCGCAGCCTGCCCCTTAGTGGGAGAGACCAGCTCATACCCACCTGAGCACTGGAAGCAGAGGCTTGTTTCACCGCCAAGGGGGCAGCATGTGCAGGCTCCGTGCCCATCTGCAGGCATTGTTAGGGCTGCAGAAAACGGCAGGCACCAGCTGAGTACCGTGATGTTGAACACAACAGATCCTTGGCATCAGAGGATTTCAGATGTCAAGTTTTGACTCTTTCCAAGTGCCCCATAGCCTGTTGTAATTTGAAATGTTGACTCAAAGTTGACTCGAGTGTGCCCTCCTCAGCTTCTGGGTGAGGGGCGGGGAGCAGGACCCCTGGCTAGGGCTGAGCCCAGCTGGCTGTCCTGCACCTGCTCGACGTGGCTTTGTTCTCAGCTCCTCATTGCCCTCATGGGGCCTCTTGGGAAGTGACAAGTGCTGGTAGATGGATGGGCTTTAGCTAAATACCGATTTTGGATAAAATGCAGTGCCCGATGTTGACTTCAGCACTCCGATCTAACAAGTCATCCATATGCTCTCTGTGGAAGCAAGAACAAGTTCTTCATGAAGACAGTTCCAGCGAGGGCTTTAGCTGGCCCAGAAGTTACCGATTAAGCAAAAGATAAAACTCCAGTGAAAGTCAAAATGGCAATCTTCTTGTGCTGTGTGGGTGTGAGCAACACACATACCCTCATGGTGGAACTGTGGATCAGGAGAAATCTAGGACCCTGCAGATACAGGAGTTTACCCAGGTTCCAGGATCCACTGCAAGAAAGGCAAGCGTGGAAGTGGTCCCACCTATAGACACCACTGTTCCATCATGATACTCTTGTCCCCTAAGCCCGGACTTGGCCTCAGAATCCTTCTCAACCCAGCATTCCAGGCAGCCCCTACCAGCAAGTCGTAGTTGGCACGGAAGATGAAACCCTATTTTGACATCCCTTTTGGTGTTGGGTACTGCTTTCCAGAGGGCATGCAAGGTCCTGAATGTTCACTCTCTGATGCCACGGTACCACTCAGGATGTGGGGGTCTCACCCAACTCAGGCAGGACACAAAGAGGAGGGAGGATGGCATCCTGGGGTTGGCGGCTTCCCAGCACTGGGTGCCTAGCTAGGAAACCATGGGTGTTCTCTGGGTTTCACGATCTCAAAGCAAAGCATGAAAACCCCTCCCATCAGTAGGTGTCGCTAGAGGCCAGCACTCTGCTGCTGGCCAAAGCTCGTGGTTTTCTTCACTGGTTAATTTTCTCTCCCGTGGTACTTGGTGCTGTGCTAGACTCCCTCGGGTAGCTTAGCCTAAAAGCACTACAGGTGCTCTGAAAATCTCCTGTGTGACAGGCTGATTGCTCTTACCAGCAACCACTGTGACTGCGTGTATGGACACATTCATCAGTATGTGCAACAGGATAAAAGCTGCATGTGTCCGTGTTTACGTGGGTGTGTAATGTCTCAGATATCTCTGCTGACAACTGTGTGTGTGTGTGTGTGTGTGTGTGTGTGTGTACAGTGGACAGGATGGTTATCTCTGTTAACTAAGGATCCTGGGCCCCACATACTTACGGCCAGCCCTGTTTCCTCTTTCCTGGGACTGCTTCTGGCCATTCCCATCATCTCATGGCCATTTGCACATAGGCAGCATGAGGGCCACTGAGGCCAAGTTCCTTATCTTTCTTTCCAGCTTCCAGACTCTGGCCAGCAAGGTCTTGGCTCCTAACCCTCTGCCTCCCAGCTCTACCCCCTGCAGCCTTGGAAAGGAAGTGGCAGAATCTGTGCTAGGACACCCCTTTTGGCTGCACCTGCCTCACCATCTCCATTTGTTTCTTTCCTCCTGCTGATAGTCCCAGGGCCAACGTGTGCAGTTGGGCAGATTGTATACTGCACAAATCCAGATGGAGTCATTCACACTATGACTTGGGTGGAGCTTTCTAAACACCTGCAAAACCTGCCAGCCTCCCATGGCTGCTCTGGTCATCTCGTGGTCATGGCTAGAAAAGTTGCCTTCTTCCCTGCCTCCCTGGCCCAGCCCAGCCTAGGCTGGGATTCCTTCCTCTGCTTGGGTGTTCTAGTCTGGCCCAGAAGTGACTAACCCTTGACCGTGATCAGGAAATATCTCCTTGATACCTTTGGGATTGAATTTAGGAAAGTGAAGTATGGCTGGCAACTTTTCATTTACTCATCTTTGCAGAGTTAGTGGTCCTTGTAAGACAAACTGAAGTTCTAGAGAGTAGGGTTACTGCCTTCCACACTCCTGGCCTGGGGGTGAAGATGTCTTCATGAGCCCGCTGGTCGGATGGGGCTGCCACGGGATTAGGGGAAAGGCCTCAAGGCTAAGCTTCGAGCTGCCACCAAGTCGAAAACTGTGAGGTCACCACAGACTGGATGCCTAGGCCTGGTTGCAAACCCTGATGCCTCCCAGGGGCAGGTGGGAGACGTCAGTGAGCGGGGAGATGAGGCTGGGTCTTAGGGTAATGGAGCACACACCCGCTGTTGTCTGACACGGTTGCTGCCATGTGGGAATGTGTGGTGCTCTTGCCAGATAGTCCACCCCAGTTTTCAAGGGAAGCTGAAAATCTGGACTTTCAAATGTTGGCAACTATTTTGAATTTGGAAAGCCTCATGCAGGCCAAACAAAACACGTCTGGCAGGCTACAGCCAGCCCTGGAGTCTCCTGTCTGCACCCTCTGGCCCAGGCCCAGTGAACTGAGTTCTTCAGAACCGATTAACTGAGCGTGTGAGGATATTACCCTCAGGCTCACAGAATTTGGGGTCTCTAAGAGACCTCAGTGATATCCTAGTTAATCCCTGTGTGTTTTAAACTGTGTACATATAAAGTTCTTTATTAACACAAGTATCTTTAGCTTCTGGTTTCTACTTAAAAGCATCTCAGTCCCCGCCCCCCACCTCCAGTGAAGAAGAAGATGGAAAGTGAAGCCTTACACATAGTGTGCTTGTATCTACCTGTCAGAAGCCCTATTTATATCTTTATAGGTCTATTTATATCTTTAGCGAACACGGGCTGCCCTGGTCTTCTTTACAACCTAACCTCCTTGGGGTTGCTTTTTATGGTAAATCTCCTAAGTGCCTCCTTAAACGGTTGGAGCATGTGCTTCTTCATCTATGTGAGTTCCGTTGTCTGAAGAGGGGGTAAGACAGCTCATACCTCCTCAGTTCTGCCCCTTCTTGGTCTGCAGTCAGCCCTCCCCACGCCCCCGCTCAGTCTGGCTCCTGGCACTTACGCGGTCACATGATAGAGGGTGCTGCGGGCTTCTCATTCCTCATGCTTGTCCTGTAGCTGAAGTTCACAACGTGGGCTTCTGCCTCTTAAAAGCCATTCAAATAAATAGAAGACTTGTAAAATAAATTCATATTGTCCTGTTTGCCTTCCTCACAGTTGTATCCACTGACTGACTGACGGTCCCCCCGAGAAATGCCAATGGCAAAGGGTGTAGTGAGCAGGCCCGAGATCAGTTCCATCCTGGGGTACCAGGGTCTCCCTGTTGACCCTCCCCCACACAAAGACCACCCTGGGGGGAGATTCTGCAGCCCGAGTCCATCAGAAGGCAAGCTTCTCCCAGCGGTGCTCTTGGCGCAGACTCAATGTTCCCATCTGGAACTAGCAAGGGAGGGTGGGATGGAGTGGGAGGGAGAAGAGGAGATAAGAGAGGGTGTGAGATGGAGGAGGAAGGGGGTGACTCAGACTCTAGCCTCAGCCCTCCCATTATCCTTCCTCCTGCACCTCAGCCCCCTCCACAGCCCACCCGACCTGGGGCCAATACCTCTACACCACTCTGTCCACCACCCTCCTTTTTCCTGCCGCCTGCCCTCGCCTCCGTCTGCTGAGGCCCTGTCAAGACTTATCTCAAATCAACTTCCTCAGCTAGGCTCCCTCAGAACCTGGTACAGCGTGAGGGACAGATCACTCTCTCCCGTGCACCGTATTTAGGTCCATGGCTCTTTCTCCCATAACCCAAAGGAGAATCTCCTGCTTTATTTTTTTTATTTTTTTAAAGATTTTTTTTTTTTTTTTGACAAAGAGAGACACAGCAAGAGAAGGAACACAAGCAGGGGGAGTGGGAGAGGGAGAAGCAGGCTTCCCACGGAGCAGGGAGCCCGATGCGGGGCTCGATCCCAGGACCCTGTGATCATGACCTGAGCCGAAGGCAGACGCTTAACGACTGAGCCACCCAGGTGCCCCTTCCTGCTTTATTTTGGTGTCCCCCCAGCCCCAAGTGGGTGTCAATAAATGTGCCTATAATTGGGGCACCCGGATGGCTCAGATAGTTAAGCCTCCAACTCTTGGTTTCGGCTCAGGTCCTGATCTCGGTCGTGAGATCAAGACCGTCCGGCTCTGCACTCAGCACTGAGTCAGCTTGGGATTCTCTCTCTCCCTCCCCTTCTGCCCCTCCCCTTGCTCTCTCTTGCTCTCTCAAATTAAATTTAATTAATTAAATCTTTTTAAATTAAAAAAAATGTGCCTATAATTGAACGATTGAATTCAGGCTGCCTCCTTGATTCTCCCACCTGAAGTTCCCCACCTTCCCAGCCAGTCACCAGGGATAAGGAGAAATGTGACTCCTCCTTCACATACTTCCTCACACCTCCCATCCGGCAGATTCCTTCAGGGGCCCTGAGGTTACCTAACTTGGGAACATCATGGAAACTTTGTGTTCTGAGATGTCTCGGTCTCACTGTGAAGTTTTTATAATGTCTGTAGGCCAGCGGTACGAGAGCTGCTTACGCTGGTTGTAGCTGATGGGCCATGTCTAAGGTGAGGGAAAAGGCAGGGGTGCAGAGGAGTGGTGGGAGAGGTGGTGACCCCACACCTTCACCTGCCCTGGCCTCGAGTGAACAGACTCAGCCCTCTGGTGCCATAACTGAATCCTCCACTTTCTGACAGGATCTCAGACTAGATTTGGTAACAAAACCCCACAACACAGAAGTGTGACTTTACCTTGGAAAAATGGGAGGGAGAAATCATGGACATAATTCTTTTTCTTCTATTGGGTGCTCACTTTTCAACCTGCAAAGCTGAAAGACCTAGGGCCGAGATGTGAGGCCTAAGTGTTCTCTTCCTTTGCCTTTCTTTCCTTTTCCTTATTAGTGGTTGGTTTTCTTTGCCAGTAGCCATTAAAAAATTTTTTTATCAACAGATAACTCGAGGAATAAATGACAAATTCACATCATAACAGTAAACAGAATAGATTGTCTACACACTTTCTATAAATTGATTTATTTGATCCTCACAATAACCCTATGAAGTAGATACTATTACTATCCCATTTTACAGAGGAGGAAACTGAGGCTCAGAGAGGTAAAGTAACTCACCCACGGTCCATAGCGAAGTTTGATTCAAACTCAAGTTGTCTGCATCTTCAATGCTACACTCTACTGACTCTCTCGTATATAATTTTAAGATAAAACACACATAAAATTTGAGCTTTCGTTATTAGTTTGAACTAATAATGAAACCCTGAACCTCAGAGGTAGTGAACTTGTCACCTGCTCACTGGCTGGGTGACTTTGCCAAGCATGGACCCTCGGCAGCTGCCGGGGGGCCCATCACTCATATGTGTCCTCAAGAGAAGCTGCTGCGAGGAGCGTCATTAGCCAACAGCCCCAGCTTCTGTAACTTGGAGTCGCTGTGACTTTCGGGGAGCAGATGGTAGGGCCTCCCGGACGGCTCCCCGTTGGTGACCAGGCACCATGGAGAGACCAGAGCTGGGCTATTTCTGCTTACCATGGGACTCCCCTAATGGATAATCTCTACTCTGGGTCTTACCAAGACCTTGTCAGAGCTGCATTGCAGTCTGAGGCACTTCTTCCACAATCTTCCCTCCCTCTCCCTCTCCTTCACGGGTGTCAGACCTCCACCGTGGCTCAAAAGCCTCTTTCTTCTTACTCCTGCTCCCTCCCTTTATCCTTACAAGCAGTGCCCCCAATAAATCTGCACCTCTAATTCGCCTTAGCATCTGTTTCCTGGAAGACCTGAGCTGACACACCTTCTGTGGGCCACAGGGTGCATGCCCATTGCGCCTAGATGGTCTTAAAATTCTCCAACATTGCTAGAGGGAGGTTTCCTTGTCAATACCAGGGAGTGTGGTGGAACACAATTCCAGTCACATCCAGAGGTGAGGGACAGCTGCTTCCCAAGTCCCAAGTCTTCTGCTCAACCCAGTGGGGCCCTGCCTTCACCCCAGTATCACTTCCCAGCTCCAACCTCCAAGAGCGAGTTAGGGGTAGGAAAAAGGGACTTGGGGCCTTAGACTGGGGTAGGAGCCCTGAGTTCTAATTCAGTCTTTACTGCTAATTTCTTATCTCTGGGCTTTAGTTTTCCCCATCTGTAGAGTGGGACTTTGGCTTGGTTGCTGTGGGTGGGAGAAGGCAAACAGTGGCTTTTTCCTGGGTTTAAGAAATGCCTTGGCAGCTGGTAAGGACAAAGCTACTTCCTTTTCCTGTTAAGACCAGACCAGTGGGGATGGGGGCAGGGGGACCCCTACCTGGTAGCATCAGGATGAGCCTAGAGCCATGTCCTGATTATATTATGACACCCACAAGTTGTGGGTGCTGTGCCTGGACTCCTGAGAGTGGCCATCAGCCCCAGGAAGGACAGCTCCCTGAGAGCCATAGTCAGGGGAGGTAAATAGACTGTACAATATGGGAAGATGAGGCAGCCATAGAGGACCCATAGGAGTACAAAGAGGCAGTACCAGTGCCCAAGGGAGGCTGGACAGGCTTCTTGGAGAGGGACTCCTCTGCTGGGTTCTGAAGGCTAAGTAGGAGTTTTCCAGATAGAGAAAGGGAAAGGCTTTCAAGATGGACAGAATACAGACTCAGAAGTATGAACCTACATTATGTGTTCTAAAACATATGAGAAATGGCAGGACTGGGGTAGAGGTCAGGGAAGTGGTGAGAGAGTGAGCTGTGCCTACATCATGAAGGATCTCCAGCAAGGGTCAAGATTTTATAGCCTCCATATTACACTTAGGAGATAGCTGCTAGTTTTATTTCCATTTTACAGATGAGGAAACTGAGGCCCCAGAGATGGCAAGGGGCTCTGACAGGAATGCACTGGGCAGTGTCCAGACCCAGTCAGGCTTGGGAGCAAGAGGCCAAGTCATCCTCTCCTTATTGGGTGGGCTCTCCCCCATCCCCACTCCCCACAGCCATCTAACTTCAGGGAGCATAGTGTCCTCAGTCCCTCCCCTCCCTCCACCCCCAGTGTCCTTGTCCTGCTGACATCATGCACACATGGAAGAGAAATTCGCAGAGATTCCAGAGGCCAGAGTGTGGGAACCCAGACAGATGCTGCTGGCGCTGCCCCAGGGCTGAGACTCCTCTGGAGCCTCAGGCGCTGCCCGGGGGGCTCTGGAATGTGTCTGAGGCCTCTGGCTTCCTCCATTGCAGGCCACCCCCCAGGGTCTGGGAGAGAAAGGGAAGCTCTGATCACCCAGGCTGCCATTTTGGTCCTCGGCAGCCTCCTGGGAGGATTTGTGCTGCCCACACACAGGGGCAGGGAGTATATGGGCACCAAGACAGCTGGACCAGCCCAGTCAGTCTGCCGTCAGGGACCCCAAGCTGGGACTACTGGACCCCCATCAATGGAGCATGAACTCTGCAGCCCAGGGACAGAGAAAGGGACCAAATCAATACCGTCCACCACCACTAGGGAAGGAGGTCAGGACTCTGTGTGTGTGTGTGTGTGTGTGTGTGTGTGTGTGTAGTAGATGGACGAACAGACACAGACAGATGCTCCCAGCCCCCACCCCTGCCTGGCACTGCCTGTTCGGCACATGTGGCTCTCAGCAGCTGCACATTCCGTCAGGGACCAGCTGTGGCAGCAGCTGTGAGGTGGGGAGTGAGCGCGGATAGGTCCCAGGGGAGCAGGGGAGGAGGGCAAGGGGAGGACAGGAAGGGCCTGGGACAAGCAGGGGTCAGGGAGGGGGTGAGGCAAGGAGGCTCAGATTGTTCTCAGGATGGAACAGCAAGCAGGAAAGTGGTGATGGGGACGCTTGACATCTGGGCTGGGAGCCCTGTGGATGTGGGCCTTGGCACAGAGAGCCTGGGGGAGGTCCCGGGCAGGCCCAGCACACCCCAGTGGGTCTTGGAACATCAGTGGACCAACAGGAATATAAGGAGAAGGACTCTGGGCAGTTGGATATATGGGTCCAAAGCTCAGGGGGAAAAAAAAAGGCCTACATTAGAGATGTAAATTTGGGAACCATTGGCTTATAGGAGGTAAAACCACGGAAGTAGATGAAACTCCCAGGGAGAAAATGCACGGAGAGAGAGGCTTAGCCCAAATGCTAATATTTCCAAGCTTTCACCCTGAATACCAG